CTTTGCAGTTCCTAATTAATTTCAGCTAAGTAACTCAAGTCATATCTGTGAAGTTGCTGTGCTAACTAAGTGTCTTAGCTTGCAAGTTAGCTAACATGCCTAATTTATAGTGCTTTTACAAAACTACATGGCTCACCTAACATCTACATCAACAAAGCAGCTATCTAATGTTGGATAGATCGCTAGGTAATGTTCCTAATGAGTCGTGTCTATAATGGACACGTTTAGCTAGGTAACTTTATTCAGTTAACAAATGAGTGTATGGCATCTTGCAGAGCAGAACCTTGGCTTTCAGTGCCGTAATATCCTCTAATCATAAAATATTACATCTAGAAAATGCCCAAAACACAACAAAGCTGTAAGCATCTGAAGACTTCTATGCCTTCAGTTTCTCTCTGTAAATGCTCTGAGTTTCTGTGAGATACGTTTATACTGTATTTCCAGCCACTGCATGCTAGACCATGGCTTACCATCATTTAGACACTGACAGGATGCCAAGCCATAAGGATCTTACACCATTTGGAAGTGTTAGTTTAGCTGAATAGCACTCATCATTTTTTAGAAGTAATCCATAAAAATAGGTGGACAACATTTTAGCTGTTAATCCGATTCCTAAAAAAATAAAATAAATGTTGATAGACTGTTCAGTCAGATTATATCCAATAAACAGATTGCTAGGCTACTCAGGTCTGTTTTTGCAATCAGTTTGTTGGTGCACTGTGGGAAAAATACAATAAATAGTATATACCAGCTAGTTCGCTAGCAGGTGACTAGCTGTTTAGGATTGTGTGAGGATTGCGTTTCCAATGTGCAGGTGTTGGGGGTGTTTATAAATGGCATATTTATGCTTATTAATTTGTGCCAAGAGAGGCATAGAGAGGCATTCAAGCAACTTTTGGTAGATTTTTGTACCTAAAAAACATGTTCATACTGCCTTATCTCTTATGTAAGATTTTGCATTCATAGTACCGTCGAAAAAAGATGACCTAGGCCATATTAACAAATGCACTTTGTTATAGGTGTTTAGGTGCTTTTATTTTGTGTGTGTGTGTGATAAAATGAGAGAGGAAGAAATAAGGCAACAGCATGACTCAAGGACAGAATCAAGATGTGAAAGGAGATGAATGAAGCTGTTATATGTGTGCACAAGAGAAACAGAGTTTCCAGTTTATTCCAGTGTGTGTGTGTGTGTGTGTGTGTGTGCGCGCACGTGTGAGCACGGTCCTTCCAGTCACACTGCTCTCAGTGCAGCTGTAGCTGGTTAGTGTGAATTGGGCTCTGATGATGTTGGATGGAATGAGGGTCAATGAGAGGCCAAGCTCTGTGACACTGCATCATGACCACACAAGCTGGTGTTCTTTTGTTTCTAGGGGTGTGTGTGTGGGTGCGTGTGTGTGTGTGTGTGCTTGCTCGTGTGTGTATCGAAGATATGCATGTTAAAGCTTTAGGGATACATATGATTGTAGCATTGTACAGTATACAGTGACATGAGAGCACATCCGTCTCCAACGTATGACGGTCTTTATAAGTGATTTGACTTTGTGTCTAAATCATCAGATAGCTATTGTGTGGTTTACTGGTGATTGTAGTCAGTTGTGGCTTGTCCGTATACATTAAGCACCCACTTTAATAGGAATACCTGTACGCCTATGGATTTATGCAGTTGTCCATTCAGCCAATCATGTGTCAGCCTGCACAATGCATTTAAATATGCAGATACAGGTCAAGACCTTCAGTTAATGTTCACATCAAACTTCAGAATGTGGAGAAAGTGTGATCTCTGTGATTGTAATCGTGACATGGTTGTTAGTGCCAGATGGGCTGGTTTGAGTATTTCAGAAACTGCTGATCTCCTGGGATTTTCACACACGCACACATACTCACTAGAGTTTACACAGAATGGTGTGAAAAACAAAAAACACTGAGTCAGCTACAGATCTGTGGGTGGACACATGGAATGAAAAATGGCCAGATTAGTTCGAGCTGTCTGGAAGGAGATAATAACTCATATGATCACACTTTACAACCATGATGAGCAGAAAAGCATCTCCGAACACACAACACAACAGAAGAAGACACATCAGGTTCCACTCCTGTCAGCCAAGAACATGAATCTGAGGCTATCATAGGTGCAGGCTCACCCATACTGGACAGTTGAAGATTAGAAAAAAAACCCACCTGGTATTTTTCCAGTCTATAGCTGTCCAGTTTGAGTTAGTCTGTACTCATGATAGCCTCAGATTCATGTTCTTGGCTGACAGGAGTGGAACCTGATGTGCCTTCTTCTGTTGTGTTGTGTGTTTGGAGATGCTTTTCTGCTCATCATGGTTGTAAAGTGTGATCATATGAGTTTTGTGTTTGATGTTTTGTGCATGCTGAGATACGCACCACATACATTATCTCACAAAAGTGAGTACACTCCTCACTTTTGTTGCCAGTGGTTTAGACATTAATGGCTGTGTGTTGAGTTATTTTGAGGGGACAGCAAATTTACACTGTT